GCGTAAAGCCAAGTTTAACCAGAATGTCTGGGGGGGGGGGGTAGGAAAAAACAAGGGGAAATAGGCTACCTTGCATAATGACTTAGCCACTCCATTTCCCCTTGTTTTTCTCCCCCCCCCCCCGACGTTCTGGTTAAACTTGGATTTATGCTGGAAATGGCCCACCTTGATAATCATACACATTGTAAGGAGAGTGGTCTGTTAGGATGAGCTATTACCAGCAGGAGAGTGAGTTTGTGTGTGTGTGTTTTTTGGAGGGGGGGTGTGAGAAAACCTGGATTTGTGCTGGAAATGGCCCACCTTGATTATCATACACATTGTAAAGAGAGTGGTCACTTTGGATGGGCTATTACCAGCAGGAGAGTGATGGGGGGGGGGGGGGCGGAGGGTGAGAAAACCAGCAGTTTCCACAGTATGCATCCGATGAAGTGAGCTGTAGCTCATGAAAGCTTATGCTCAAATAAATTGGTTAGTCTCTAAGGTGCCACAAGTACTCCTTTTCTTTTTACAAAATAGATCTCGAAGCTTCTTTAGACAGCATCCTTAATTGACATATTCCTACCAGCAGAAATCAACTGAACCTCCTAGAAAAATCTTGTTTCCAGCAAAGAAGTTCAGGCTGTGTCTTCATCTAGGCAGCAAGCTTGACATCACAGCTGAGAGTCCTGTTTTGATATCTGGGCGTCTGTAGCTGTTCTCCCTACCTCATTTGGCAACCACCTTTTAATTCACCCCAGAGACCTGGGATAGAATCACTATGGGCCATTGGGTTTGCAATCCTCAGTAGGGCTATTTGGCCCAGTTTCGGTCCTCACCAATCCACCACCCTCCTTCTTTGTCTCTCCTCGGGGATGCCTCTGATGAGACGTTGTTAAAACAAGGGGTAGATTCTGTTTCACAATTTGGGGCAGTGGAGGCAGTGCCCGCTGAGTTTATGAGCGGGAGGGTTTATTCTCCTTTTCTTATTCCAAAATAATAAAAAAAAAAGGTTGCATCCCATTCTCAACCTCAATCACAATAAACTCATCCATCATTTCAAGTTCAGAATTGGCACCCTGCCTTCCATAAATCCTTCCCTAGCTCCGCAGGATTGGTTCATGGCTCTCAGCCTTTAGAATGTATATTTCTATGTGTCCATCCAACACATGGGAAATCGCTCTGTCTTATGGTGATGTCTACTTGTGACCTCTTGTAAACTCCATTCGGCTTTCCAAGCTCCATCAAGGTTGAAGTTGCATTGTTGAAGGTTAAATCGCTCTGTCTTATGGTGGGAATTGAACATTAATCGTGATTAATCACTTGACAGCCCTAATATTTACACTTATCTTGGTGATTGACTATTCAGAGGCAAATCTCCTCAGCAAGTAACCAACTCCATAAGCACAATTCCCACCTGTTTACCATCCTAGGCGTCAGGGTGAACTATGGAAAACTACCTTTTACTCCCACTCAGATGATAGAGTTCATTCTTCTTCTTTTTCATATGGCTGATGTAAATGTACAGAAACAAGTATAATTTTACATTTTGATGGTTAAGCCAGATAATTGTGTCCAGAGTAGCAGAGTGTATTGCTGTGATGCCTCCTTCATATTTGTGAATCGGGCATTGTGTTGTTGTATGTTCCATGGTCTGTTCTAGGTGACTACAGTCGCGCACTGGAGTCCTTATTTTTCCATTTATGCAGCAAGTATCCTCATCTACCATGGTCTGTGCAGATACGGTTTAGGGTTGCCCATTAACTTTGTGGGAGATCAAACCCAGGGATCTTCTGCTTCAGGTTTTTCATGGGATGTCTACTTGTGACCTCTTGTAAACTCCATTTGGCTTTCCAAGCTCCATCAAGGTTGAAGTTGCATTGTTGAAGGTTAAATGCGTAGGTCCAAAAGGGCTTATGCAACATCAGGCAGTGGTGAGGGACATTGTTTAAGGTCCTGGTGAACAGGATAGAGTTCATTAGACTGATTCTAGACTCAAAATTAGCCAGATTTTATTGTCCACTGGAGAGATTACAAACTAGGCTGAACTTCATCATAAAGCTACAGAATCAGCTAGGACTTCAGCTAGAGAGAGCCTCAGGTTCTGTGGCTTTATACACCTTTGTGACACTGCATGCTGACTCCATATCTGTCCCCTTCAGGGATGGCTGAAATCAGTTTTATCAACTCCTCATGCACTTATGGACAAATATCTGTTCGTTCCCCGATAAAACGTATCTTCCCCTGTACAGTGAATGTACCCATATCAAGTCTGCATAGGGATCCCATGTGCTTTGCCTTTACCCACCTAAACCTTGGTAATGTGTGCATCCAAACAAAGTTGGTGAGTTCACTTGGATCACCTTCAGACGCAAGGTCTTTGGTCTTCAAGAGACTCTTGACTGCACGTAAATGTGCTGGAGCTGAATGCCATTAGCTTAGCATGCAAAGCATTCTTGTCTCTGCTTCAAGGATAGGCAATACCTGACAGACAATATCATTGCCATCCATATCAACATGCAGGAAGGAGCAAGGTCAGCTTTCCTTTGTCAGGAGGTGATTCAAGTATAGAATTTGTGCATTCAACATCAAATTAATCCTATAGCCCCGCATTGCTTAGGCACTCAGAACAATCTAGAAGATGGAATCATTATCTATCACAAATGCTTTATCAGTCCATCAAATTTTCCATAAATGGCAACTTCCAGATATAGACCTTTTTGCCACCAACTTGAACAAAAGGTGCCAGCTAGTCTGTTCCAGGTGGAGTGCAAGCCCACATTCGCTTCCGGTTGTGTTCCTGGTTCCATGGACAAGAGGCTGATATGCCTTTCCACCATTCCCTTTAACCCTCAGAGTAGTCAGAAAGCTGAGACAGGACAAGTCCTATGTAATAATGAACTCACCAGCATGGTCTAGATGGTTTTGGTACTTAGATCTGATACACCTGTTGATAACATCTGGTAAGGTAATTGGAGGTGGTATCTCACAGAAGCGGGGCCAGATCCTGCACCCCAACCCTCATTTTCTTAATCTGATGTCTTGGAGATTGGTTGGCTGCACATGAGTGATGGAAGATACCATCTGCAGTGCAAAACATTCTGATTCAAAGTACAAAAACCTCCATGTGACTGACATAAGTTTAAGTGGAAAGAGGTTTTTCTGTTTGGTCACTCAACATGACCTTCATCCTATAGAGGCCCCGATTTCTACTATTTAGCTCTGAAACAGGGCTTTCCTTTAGCTCAATTAAGAGTTCATGTAGCTGTGATATCTGCCTGTCATGCCCAGTTTAGGATCATACTGTATTTTCACCCCTACATTCACTAAGGCTCAGCTTTACAAAGGTACTTAGGCATCCTGCTACCTAATGGAATTCTTGGCCTTGAGTTAGGCAGGTAGGCTCCCCATACCATGTCTGGGGAGAGTTAGGCATTTAAGCAAGGGATTCTCAGAAACCAGCAAGCTGAACAGGGAGCCACCTAAGATAGCCAAAAGTGAAATATGGAGGAAAGGAGTGGAGCTCACAACCAGAACGTCAAAGCTGTTTAGCTGCCTACCTCCCATCGATCTGGGTTTTAGGTACCTCACTCTGCTCAGGATTCTCAGCTGTGCACCCTCTCCTAGAATTAGATGACTAAGGAGCATCAGCCCTTTCTTGTGAAGAGAAAGAGAGCCAGCCAGCCAGTTATCCTCCCAGAACAGCCATTAGCCCCAGGGTTAGGGAATTCACATGGGATATGGAAAAGCTGGGTTCAACTCCCTAATCTGCCTCATTTAGAGCAAGGATGTGAACCCCCATTCTAGGTGAGTGCCCTAAGCACCTGGTATTCTGGGGTGGGTCTCTTTTGAACTCTTTTTGGAGCTGTTCCACTTTGTGTAAATTAAATATTCACAGAGAGAGAGCAACTGCATGTATAACCCAGTGGTTAGGGCAGTCACCTGAGATGGGGGTTCAAGTCCCTGCCCCAGATCAGGGATTTGAATTCCCATCTCCCATATTTCAGGTGAATGTCCTGAACACACATACCTATTTGTCAAAAATTCCTGACCCCTTCTGACTCTTTCGTACAGGTGCTACTGTGCTGTCCCTCCTGCCCTGCAGTGGCCTGCATGTGGCCCTCCTGCTGCAGGCTTTGACATATATCAGATTTTAGCAGTGCTCTACTTCTTTTGTGGCATATAAAATTACTGGCTACTCCCCCTGCAATAGTAACCATAACTCTTCACCTGTTTTTTCATTTTAAACACAGTCCTTCTCTTTGTATATTTTTGTGCTATTACAATTAGTCAGATATCAAATAATTCTATCCCATATGGAATAATTTACTAGAGTTAAAGTAATATTTTAATCAGTTGAGCACTACTGCAAAGAGATGACACCATCCATTATCTGTATAACATCAGATGTAACTCCAAGTCTATTAAGGTTCCCTGGTTTTCCTTCAATGCTCAGTCGCTTCAGGTAATGCATGAAGTTAACTCTGTGAGAAATAGTTTTTGAAAGCAGAAAGCAAATTCAGTTTTGTCTGATGAAAGAAAGCACATAATGGCCAAAATCCACCCTGTGGGTTCAAGAAACTGCAATTGCACCCATTGTATATGTTGTGACTAGTGTGCCAGAAAAGCATTCACCTGCCAAGGTGGCCAAGAGGTAAGTAACCTAGATTTCTTGTATATACCACTTGGTTTATAAATAGATTCAGCTAGTATTTTAATCCAAGTGCAGACTGGGCCATAAAAATGAATGCTGATGAGTTATTTTACAATCCCATAGTTTTTAATGGAAATTAGTTAATTCTGATAATGGAAGTTTGTGCATGACATTGGTGTGTTGTGTAGCTTTTCTCTTCTTAAAATGGACTGTGTAACTAGTTAAACCAAACTATTAATTATAAAGGATTGAAACAAAATATTTTTGAAAGTGATTAGGTTAGACTTATCTTATTTTGTTTTATGTTAATTTTAAACAAAGTGTCAATATACTGTATTCTGTTTATCTGATTTTTACATACCATATGCAGGGAAGGAAGCTCAGCAGTTACCAGACATTGAAATTCGTCAGAAGAAAAAGATAGTAAAGAAATCTTGCATTTCACACAATAAAGACCTTAATAAGGGTAACCTTTTTCTTAGATTGATATTTTTGTGCAGTAATGTTAACATAAGTGTCATCTTGTATTCTAGTTAGTATTAAAGGGGCACTGTCACTTTAAAAATCCCACTTGTCCAAAAATGTGTTACTATCTTTTCTACTGTATCGCACCAGAGATTACTAAAATTGAGACATCAGAGAAAAATAGTTATATTCAGTGTATTTATTTGCGCATTGGACAATGCGCTAAGTAGAGTTTTACTGCTGTGTTGAGCTGTTTCACATCCTAGTTTTAAGCACCAGTTTAATGACATTACCATTACCCATGAGCTCCTCCCTTAGCAATGCATATGTTCTTTCCCCACACATGCAAGAGACTACATAATAGTAACACAGCAACTGAAGTGCTGTTGGGACTATAAGGAAGACATTTTTTCCCTAGACTTTTGGGAAAGGAATAGGGTCAATAAGGAGGATAGTTTTTCACTCTCCCAGGACCCCTACAAGGTCATTATCAGCCCTTGTTCCCTTTACTAAGCCATGGAGGGTATCATTCCTCCCTCCCTCCCCCCTCATCATCAGTGATGAGGGAGAGGGAGGAGCAATGTGAGACTGTCTCTGTTTCTGTCCCTTAGCCTTTCCAAGCTAGATGAAAGATGAAGAAGAAGGGAAGTGGGGAAAAAAACAGCCAGTAGGCTCCACAGCCCAATTTAAGGCTAGGAGAATCAGTGGACCTTGAGGAGTCAGTATAAAACCTTCACTTCCCAAATTCTAGGGAGCACATGGAACCTAATGGAGGTAGGAGACTCCTTCACCACCTGGGCTCCTGCATGGGGCCATTGAACCCCATGCACTTTATCCAGCTGGGGTAATTCAGGGGACTAGATAACAGAGGGCTTTCACCCCCTGCCCCCAAGCTCTGTATTGGTCCAGGAAGCCCCAGGAGCCTGTGAGGAGTCTCCTTCACACTGTGGACCCCTCTATGAGGCCAGGTGAGGCAGAAAGAGCAGCAGAAATGAGTAAGAGCCCCTGGGGAGAAAGACCAGTAACAGCGGGTGGTAGTAGCCCAGAGCAGTGGGAACAGGAGGCATACATATTCTTTGTATTTCATGGAGATGTAGTGACCAGAATTGGGGGCAGGAAGGGACCTCCCTATTTGCCTCTCTGCAGGGTCTGGGGAGAGACAGAAGTGGCTGGCAACAGGGACAAGAAGGACATCCATCCACAGGGCTGGGAGGGAAAAGAGTAAGAGGGAACCCACCTTTATTCCTTCCATGGAACCAAAAGAGATAAGATAGATCCTGCTCTACCTCTTCATGGAGCCACATGTGTCATGAGGGAGCAAGCACTTATCCTCAACTGTTTCTGAAGCACATGCTCAGTTTGACATACTCTAGTTGGGATTGGGCTCCTACTTATTGTCAGAATTTAGAATAAACAACAATTAGCCTGAGAGATGCTAAATAAGCATGGTGACAAACATTATCACTCAGAGCACTGGGCTCTGGATGTAGGACCTATGAAGCTGACTGACTGAATTGTAAAATATTTATTCAGTGCAATAAAATTTTTTTACATTAACTTGCATGCCAGTCTATAAAACTAATGTGCATTAATTTTACAGCGTACCAGAATATTTTAATACTAATATTTACATTACAGTAAGATTTAATATTGTACTATACAAGCTTTTTAAACCAACAGTTATCCTTTTTATTACCTCAAATCATAAAATACGGAGAGGTGTATAGATAAGCTTCCATGCTGGGTGTGATATAAGTATTTGTTTTGATTTCAGGAGCCTTACCGAGTCCTCGGGACACATACAAGGTGAGTAGATACAATTTATTTAGAAACACATTACCATTCACCTGCACTAATTCAAACAGCACTCTTAAATAAATGAACACAATTGAGATGGGCTTCTTGAAGAACAGACTGAGTCACTCAAGATGCTTTGACTATTTTAAACTATATATTTATACTCATAATCCTAATTCTAGTGCCAGGGTCATAGTTCTACCATCTGTGGCCTTTCTCTTGTCCTCTGTGACAGATGTACTGGAAAGGAAAAGCTAGCAAATGACTGTGGTGCTTGGGGAAGGGGTCACATACTTTACAAGAAAACAATTGTGATAAGAGATGTAGAAAATATGGACTAGGAGGAAAAATCTGTGGCTAAGGGATTAGAATTGGTCATGTGAACCAAGGAACAGATCAGTTCAAGAGCACTCTGGGAGAAATTTGTGACCAGACTTAGACATTTAAAATGTTTCTACATGTCTTTTAGTCCAAGCACAGGGAGTCAACTCCTCTGATAACCAGTAATCCTGGCAAGTTATTGCTTTTCTCTTACCCTTGGATCTGTTGCATAAGGTACACTTGCAAATGATGGTGCCTTCCAGGTTTGCAAGGGATGTCTCAAACACTTTCACTACATATAAATGTACATAGTACTGTTATGACTATTAAACTTATGTGGATCATAGTTAAGTTTGTTCACATGAATGCCACTCTTAGAGCCCATGTGCCTTATGCATGTCCGATTGGATTTTTTTTTTTAACCAGCAACGTCTTTTGGGGCTGCCCCCCCATACCTTAGATGTTCTCATGCCTGTATCTGAGGGCATGAAGGGTAGCGTAAGCCCAATCATCCCTGTTACTTCTTACGACCTAGGACAGCAAGAGATAATCCTGTCAGTATCTGCTGCCTTCTCTGTGCACTGTGATAGCATTAGTGTTAGCTTTGAGTATTGCTAATTAAATAATTGGTAATGATAGTCGTTTTGTCCATTGTCCCAAAACAACACCAATCCCCCCAAAACTTTGTCAGATATTTAGTTTACAGGCTAGACCTCCCCTCACATGCAGGAACAATAGGGCGGAAGTGAAATCCCCAGGATTCAAAACCTGCCTCTTGTGTGAAGCTTCACTGTTGCTTGATGGACACTCCAGGTGCCTCTTATGTAGGAGAAAGTCATATTCCTGAGCAATGTTCCATATGTTGCTCCTTCTCAAAGAGCTAGAGAGGCCTGCCTAAAGGTTTTCCTCCTGAGTGCAAGCCACCAGGGACCCTAAAAGAAAGGATTTTTGCTTGACCTGAGTCTGCATGATTGCCATGTTGAGCAGGAACTCCACTATGAGCTCCTGTGCTACATTGACCCAGAGATTCCAAATCTTCTTCTTTTTGAGTATATATCCCTATGGAAGCTCCAGCATAGAGTGCATGCACGTCCATATGCTCTCAACTGGAGATTATAAATAGCAATGGCCACAGGTCGGTGCTGGCGCAGAACAGCACCTCATGTTCCCAGGCGAGGACATATAATGAGGTGTAGTCTTGCAACCATTTCAGTTCCTTTCAATTACCTGTGGCTAAAGACGGAGCAATTGCAGCTTTCCTGCCACTTACAACTTTTCTCTTACTCTTTATTGTTTTTATGTATGTAGTTACTATTTCTAGTTAATTTTTTCCAGTTTTAACACCACTTATGCAGACTTCTTGCCTTATTGTTGGCAGTGGGATGAGAAAAAAAAAGTACTCCATTCCCTTGGCCAGAATGTAATATTTTGTATCTGTCCACTTACAAGTGGGCCTTGATGGCAAAATATGATTTAAACAACTATTCAAAGTTGATTGTGTTTATTGAACGTCCACCACAAGACCAAAGGAAACCATTTCAAGCTCTCATTTCAGAGGGTCACTTGATTGCAAAAGCTTCCCCACGTGATGTCCCAGGTGTTGAACCTAGGCCTGGGAGTCCCCAGGCAGTTATTACATCCAGGCCTCCACCCAATAGCTACTGAAACTGGGTTGGCTGGGAAACTATTAGGGCTATTGCCTCAGCCAAGGCACCATTCACAGGAGCTCTGATTGAAGAATCACCAGGCTCCATTGATCGGTCCAACTATGCTATTTGAGCCAGGAAGAGAAACAGGAAGTTTGTCTGAGCAACAAGGTGATTTCCTGTTGTGACTGTGTTGGAGTCTGCTTGTGACTGCCCCCTGGCTCCTGCATTACCCCTGCCCTCATTCCTGTTCCCACTGTACTCCTACTCTATGCTTGATCCTGGCTTCTCGTCCTGCCCTTAGACTTCACCTCTAATCCTCACTGACCAGTCCTGGCTGTGACCCTGGCCTCTTGACTTCTGATCATGACTCTGGCTTGACCCTTGGCTTTGGCATCTGACCTCAGCTACATGGAGACAATGACCCTGGTATACTGGCTGGGTAGGATAGGTTGGGGAAGCCAAAAGGTGAGCTGTTAGGCAGTTGGGTACCGCTACCACTACCCCATTTGGGGTGAGGGAATCTGAGACCATACTAAAGTGACTAGGGCAGTGGGAGTCAAGAGCCCATACAGAGCTTCAAACAAAAATGGACAATTTAACTCAATGTGTATCACAGAGATCCCAACTTAGGCAAAACGGGGTGCCCTAAGGATTTTTCAGTGCCTCTTGAGACTCTCCTAAAGCAGGTAATCCAGTCCCTCCTGCAACTGGGAAGTGATCAAGCCAGTTACCCCTGAATTCATTCCAAATAATTCCTGGTTCCCAAAATAGGCGGCCTGGATCTACTTGGGGCCTCGTAAAGGTAGACCTCTTTGCAACTTCAGGCAATGCTAAATGTTGCACTTTCTGCTCCAGGGGAGTATAGGCCACAACTCTTCGGGGGGTACCATGCTAACGTCTTGGCCTCTGCTCTATGATTACCTGGCTAAACTTCTAATCCTCAAAACCTTGCTCAAACTGAGACAACAAGGAGTGAGAATTATCCTTATAGCATCTTCATGTCAGTTGCAAGCGTGGTACTCGGATGCCCATCACCTGTCTGTGGCAACCACTTTCCATCTTCAGGAAGATCTCCTGTCACAGAACTCAGGTGCCCTGACCCATCCCAACTCCTTGATTCTGAACCTTTAGGCTTGACTCCTTGCTGGTTTTCAGTCAGAGTTAAACTGTTCTGCTAATGTGTAGTCAGTTCTCTTGTCTAGCAGGAAGCCTACTAGTCACAAAACTTAACAGCGGAAGTAGAAACACTTCCATTCCTGGTGCCCTCACCACTCTTTTCAAGCCTCAGAAGCTCTGCCTTCAAAGATTCTAAAGTACCTGATAGACTTAAAGACATAAGGTCTATCAATGAGTTCAATCAAAGTACACCTGGCTGCTATCATGGCCTTCCATTCACCTACTGAAGGGGTTTCAGTCTTTGCTCACCCAACTGTGGATAGCTTCCCTGAAGGGCTTACACAACTTATTTCTCCTATCTGGAACCCTGCTTCCCGATGGGATCTTTAATTTAGTTCTCAATGCCTTGAGTAATCTCCCATTCTTCGAGTGCTTGCTCATGTCCATTCCATATTAGGTGTGTGTGCTCACCACATGCACAAGTTCTGGAAGTTTTTCCCTCAGCAGTATCCACAGGAGACCGGTTCTGGTACTCTCTGGAGTGGCACCCACATGGTGCAGTATAACGGGTGCCGCTGGCTCCCCTCATCCTCAGTTCCTTCTTGCCGCCAGTGACGGTGCTGGAACATCTGCTGCTTTGGCTAGCATTGTTTTGTCCTCCGTTGTTGTGAACTTTGAAAAACCTGTAATATAGTTGCATACTGTTAGTAGTTGAATTAGTTACCCTTAGTAGTAGTTCTTCAAGTTCTAGTCCTGAATGGGACTCAGCTGGGGGACGAGGCATGCCCCGGTCCCCAGGCTTTAAGCCCTGTGACTGCTGCAAATTACCTATACCCATCAGTGATCCACATACCAGCTGCCTAAGGTGCTTGGGTGAGGGACACATAAGCAACAAGTGCCGTATCTGCAAGTCCTTTAAACCTAGGATGAAGAAGTAGCATGATATCTGTCTAAAGGCACTCACTCTGGCACCGGAGCAGCGGTCCGACTCCGCACTGAGCATTGCAGCCTCTGTGCACCGGTCCCCCTCCATGGCTCCAGTCAAGAAGCCGAAAAAGACTGTGAGGGGAAGATCTCCTATCTCCCACAAGGGAAAGGAGAGGGCTGGGGGCAAACCAAGACCCATGCTGGGCAGCTCAATGCCCCCTTCGGGAAGAGGGGCCCCAGCTCAAGTCGAGCAGTGCAGCCCATCCCATCCTTCACCTGGAATTCCAGATAGCGGTGCAGGCCCTTGCCAATTTCAGGTGCCGTCAACACCCGAAGCCCTTCAAGCAGTTCAGGAAATCCTGACACTCCCGGTGCCACCCTCACTGGCTTCAGTGGTACCCTGGTTTTGCGGAAAACCATGTTGGGACCTATGCATGTTTCCCCATCTCAGCAGCATCGTTTCCTATGGAGAGGGATGTCTCACCATTGCTCGCCCACTCGAAGCAGTCATGCCTCAGGACTAGAGAGTCAGGTTCAGCGGAGCCCTCTTCAGTCCCCGCACAGGGGGCACCAATTGATGGACTCGAGATGTACCTCGCCAGTAGATTGGCACAGACCCTCTGAGGCACACGCCACCCGGCAAGAACTCCGGGACTGGCCCCAACCACCTCCAAGGGCCCAGTATCGATCACAGGACCGATCAGGGACCAGAGACCTCTGAGCTCCAGACTCATGGGATATGGTCCCCGGAGGAGGCAAATCACACAAATGTCAAGGAGCTCAGAGTGGTCTGGCTGGCATGCAGAGTTTTCCTGCCCCACCTGTCAGGCAAGGTGATATGAGTTCTGACGGACAATACAGCCTTGATGTTCTAAATCAACAGGCAAGGGGGAGTGTGCTCATCAGCCCTCTGTCAAAAGGCACCCCTTCTCTGGGACTTCTTCATCAACCACAAAATCCACCTGGAAGCTTGTCACCCTCCCAGCGTCAAGAATACACTGGTGGACCAGCTCAGTATGGACTTCTCCTCTCACCACGAGTGGTCACTCCACCCAGAGGTAGCCTACAAAGGTGGGGAATTCCCCAAGTGGACCTGTTCACCACCAGACAGAATAGGAAATGCCATTGGTTTTGTTCTCGGCAAGGTCTGGGTAAAGACTTCCTCGCCGATGCCTTCCTCCTGTCATGGTCAGGGAGCCTGTTGTATGCGTTCCCTTCAATTAAATTCATCAGCAGGGTCCTGGCAAAAATCAAGAGAGACAAGGTGCAGGTTATCACGATCGCCCAGGCGTGGCCTTCCCAGCACTAGTTTGGCACGCTCATGAATCTGGCAGCGGCCCCTCCCCAACCAACTGGACCTGCTCTCACAGGACCACAGTTGGCTCTTACACCCCAACCTTGCATCCCTCCACTTCTCTGTGTGGATGGATGCTGAGTGGCTGAACCCAGAGGAGCAGACCTGTTCAGAGGAGGTACAACAGGTCTTCCTGGGAAGTAGGAAGCCCTCAACTAGACTGACTTACCTAGCCAAGTGGATGAGGTTTCCCCCTGGGCATCTGAGCATGGCATCTCTCCCATTCAGGCTGACTTGGACTACCTGCTTCATTTGAGGAATCCGGG